AAAAAAAAAAAAAAAAAAAAGAGGAAAAATTAATCCCCCTCTCACCCAAGCGCAGTTACAACAAGCAGGGAAAGGGCTTTTCCTCCCCGGGAAAGGGAAGGCTCCTCTCTAGGAAGCGACGGGGCTTTTCTCCCTCATTCCCGGGACCCCGGGAAGCGCCGCCCCCGCGCGGGGCCCCTCCGCCAGACACCGCCCCCGCGCGCCCCTCCGGCAGCCACGGGCTGAAAGTGAAAAAAAAAGAGAAAAAAAGCAGCAAAAAAGGGGAAAAGCACAGGGACGGTGGGTTGGAAAAAAGACAGGAAGGGCCGGAGCGGTGCTGGTTTAGCGGGTGAGTAGGGAACGGCCCGTGTCGGCGGGCGCGGTGCCGCGGGACGGCGGGCGCTCGTCCCGGGGCGGATTTATCCCCTCGGGAGCCGGGAATGCTGCGCGGCAGCGGGCGGCGCAGCCCCCCGGGAAGCGCCGGGACGGGCGCGTTTGTAGCCCGGGAGGTGCCGCGCTCCGGGCGCCGCTCCCGGGCGGCTCCCACCAGCCTGGCCGCGAGCGGGATTCGTCCCCTGGCAGTGAGCAGGATTCATCCCCGACCCCGGCCCCCACGTCGCATGACTTGGCAGGAGTGCGGGAATTTTGGAGGATACAGGGGCTGGAAGCAGCCGCCTGAACCCAAAGTTATTGAACAGCCACAAAGCCTTCAAAAGCAGCCATCCTGTCCGGATGTCCAGAGCAGAACCACCCTGGCATATTTTTTTCCTTTTTTTTTTTTTTTTTTTTTTTCTCTATAAAGGCTCCTTTGGTGGTTGGTGGCTAAGGGTTGATGCCCAAGTTGCAGTGGGGGCAGAAGCAGCATCACTCTTTCCTCCCAAGCTGCCACCTGCAGAGAGATAGTGTGTGTGTGTGGTTGGTAGCTTTAAAATTCAACCTTCTTCCTCAGGTGTTTGGAAATCCTTAAGTGCGATTGAGATTGGGTTGAGGGTGGGTGAGCTGGTAGACAGAGGTGTATGGAGAACAGCAATTACATATACCAGTTTTTCCAAGGAAACCAGCCTAAGTGTCAGGATGCATACCTCGGCAGGAGACACGTATAAAATTACCAATGTATTAAAACTTTTTGTTTTATTTTTGTTTCTCTTTTCTGAGCTTTCCGAATGCTCACGTCTTCCAACTTTTCTTCTCTGCCTTGAGCACCAAAGCCTTACTTTGTCTCCCATCCTTCTTTTTCTAAGCTGAAACAGGATCTTGCACCAATTCCTGTGGTCAAGAGCCAGGATTTTCAGGAAGTAGCTTCCAGTGTACAGAAAAACGGTAGGGATCTTAAACAGGAACCAAGCAAGGGGAAGAGTTACCTGGGGAGAGTCAAATGTAGTGGTAGATTTGAGGGTAAGAGGAACTTTTTAAGCTGAAATGTGGTTAAATCTGGAGAATGGAGTGTGTGTAGGCGCTGCACAGTTGCGTTCACCACTTGCTTGTTCCTCCTGCACAAGGATGATCCAGGCCATGAACCCCTCTCCAAGCTGCCTCCTCCATGCAAGGAGAGGATGTGTGATCCTTGTTGGTAGGGAAGCCCGGCTTGAGGGAGAGTGGATAACCTCCTTGCAGTTTGCTGTCAGAAACGTGACAAAAATGTCATTTATAGGGCCCTTGCCTTGCTCTGCAGTGTGAGTTAAGTGCCCTGGGGTTCTCGGTGTGGAGATCTCTAATAACTGCTGTGTGTCTTGTGTTTGGTCTAGCTGAAGGGCAGCGACTTGGCTCAGTGCTTCTGGCACCTGCAGAACGTTACCAGGAGGCGTAAATGGCTGAGCTTGAAGCATGGACTTGATGCCGTCGCCTTTCTGGCAGCTCTCCCTGTGAAGAGGAGTAAGGATGGAGCGGGAAAGCGGCGCCATGGAGGCTGAGGAGCTGGGACACGTGGGTCTGGCCAACACCTGGCTCTGACTGCCCGTGTGTGCCCTGCAGCATGATCCGGATCAGGAGGAGAAAGCTGTGGGCATCCTGCTTCTGCCTCACAGCTGCCCTTTTCCTTGTGGTGACGCTCCAGGTACTGGCATAAGGGTGGAGAGGGCTGCCCTGCATGTGTCCTCCGGGCCATGTGTTTGAATTCAAGGGGCAGGAAAGCGAGGTGGGACCTGTTCCGTTTTGAGGTGACTGATAGCCAAGGAAAATGTGAGCCTATCAGTACCTGGTGGTTGCAACTCTGCCCAGCACTTGTGGTTCAGTGGCCTGTTCTTGGCACAGGGAGGCCCAGTGATTGTTCAGTAAAAAATGTCTGAGAAAACAATCTATGTGGAGGAATAGTGATTATGGCTGGGGTAGCCGAGGCCAGCCTTTAAGTAAAGAGGACAGATTTTAGACCAACTGAGTCAGCCTTGGCCTGTAGTCATGGGTGTTTTGGAGACTTTAGTGATGAGAATCATAGAATCACAGAATGCCCAAGGTTGGAAGGGACCTCAGAGGTCATCCAGTTCAGCCCCCGTGCACATACAGGGACACCCAGAGCACAGGGCACAGGACTGCGTCCAGGTGGGTTTGAAGGATCTCCAGAGAAGGAGACTCCGCAACCTCTCTGAGCAGCCTGTTCCAGGGCTCTGTCACCCTCACTGTCAGGAAATGTTTCCTCAAGTTCCTGTGGAACTTTTGGTACTTCAGTTTGTGGTCGTTCCCTCTAGTCCTGTCGCTGCCACCACAGAAAAGAGGTCAACCCCTCCTCCTCACTGCCTCCCTTGAGGTATTTATAGACACTGATCAGGTCCCCTCTCAGCCTTCTCTTCTCCAGGCTGAACAGACCCAGCTCCCTCAGCCTTTGCTCACAGGGCAGATGTTCCAGGCCTCTGATCATCCTGGTAGCCCTGCGCTGGACTCTCTCCAGCAGCTCCACATCCCTCTTGTCCTGGGGAGCCCAGAACTGGACACAGTCTCCAGATGTGGCCTCACCAGGGCTGAGTAGAGGGGGACGATCACCTCTCTCAACCTGCTGGAGATGCTGTTCTTAATGCACCCCAAGAAGGCCAGGATCTATCCCAGACAAATCTTTGCACTTGGGTTGGGCCCATAACTGAGGTCTTGGTTCAAACCAGTAACTCAGATAAGCAAGAATGGAGACTTCAGGAGAAGCTTCAGTGACAGGGGCTGCCCGATCCCCATGCCTCCTCCAAGCTGGAACCAGCTATCTGGGGCAGTTGTTGTCACCTCAATGGTCTATGTTGGTTCTGCTCTTTGGAACAGAGCATCCCATGGCCGTGTGGCTGTTCTAGCCTGGGGACAGCACTGGTTAGTCTTCTGGAGCTTTCCTGGGAGGGTTTGTGACTCCACAGCAGCTCCACAGCTCAGGGGAGTCTGGTTAGAGCTGCCCTGTCTATCTCAGGATTTACATTTGGCAGCGTTCACTGCACAGTGAATTGTCCATGGTCATCCTGATACTTTCCACTGGAGGGAGTATCCTGTGCCCATCCTCATGAGCTGTGCATATACTGGGGATGTCTCGGCCCCAAGAATTCAGAGAGAACTACCCGTTTTTCTGCACAAACACAGAGATTCCTTAAATTGCACCAGGACAAAATATGCATGCAGAAAGGACATGGAGAAACCATGACTTCTGTATGGCTGGAGAAACCACAACATGTTACTTCTAGACTAATTTCAACTATATTGCTGTATCTATAACTTACTAAACTGTCAGACACGTGAATCTTTCCTGCAGCCAGTATCCTGTCCGCATGCCAGAGTGGGAGTGTTTTCTGCCTTGTTCCGTACAGCTGCACTCTGCACAGCCTCCTGTGTGTGCTCCAGCGTCCTGGATTTCACAGAGGCTATTTAGTCTGCTCACAATCACTGTGTTTTACTGCACAGTAGGACGAAATGACACAGCAAACAGCAAAATAAATACAAGCAATAAAGCTATCAGGGAAGATAGATTCTTTTAACCAACTCAGCACAAACAACACTTTCCCACTTCCCAATACCCTCCTTCAGAGCCTTCTGAAGAGTCCAAGTGCTGTGAGCCAAAGCTGTCTGGTGGATCATGGCTTGTGCAGCTGTTTGTGGGCTGGTATTAGGTGCTGCCCGTGAAGATGCACATGCAAAATACTGTTTGCACAGTAACAGGAAGGTTTTAACCCCACTAAAGCTACAAGCAGTTGCTGTGTATCCTCCAGCAACACCTATTTGCAGCATTCCTGCTGCTTCATGTATCCTCTCAGGAGATTTTTCTGCCCAGTAACACTTTTATTACTGGTACTACTTGTAGATGTTGTGCAGATGTTGATGGGATTTCTCTCCTCTCACTGTCTGAGAAGCTGTAGGAACATGACTGTCTTTAAGACTCATCTCTATTTGATATATTCCGCCACACAAAGGTGGGGTGGGCACAGATGGCCACACAGTTGGCTTGTTGCTCTATACCTCTATACTGAAATGTATTTCCTGCCTCCTGCACACAAATTTGAATTAAAGCCCTCCCTATTCTGCTGTAATGTCACCTGGGCAGCTACTGCAGCCAGTGAAATGCATCCTCGTATTTGTTTGACAGAAACTTCATATGAGGGTTCAGTTAGTGCTTGCTACCAGAGCTCTAATTTGATAAGAGAGCGTCCTCGTGGTGATGCTTACACCCTGTGATATATGTGTGTTCTTTTCCCTGAAGGTCATCACTGAACTGGGCAATTCAGAGAAGAAGTCTGCAGTAATCTCCACTTTACAGGGTGGCCTGTTGAAGCCTGAGCAGAGACTTGCTTTTCCGTTTAAGAAGCAAGAACTTCGTGGCCACTTCAGGACAGAGACTGATATAGAGACTGATGGAAATCGCCACCCAATCTTGCTCTGGTGGTCTCCCCTGACTGGAGAGACAGGGAGATTGGGTCAGTGTGGAGAGGATGTTTGTTTCTTTACTATCAACAGGACCTATCAGCACCATCAGATGACGAGAGCATTTCTGTTTTATGGTAAGGAGATGATTCTCTTGAAAGATGTGATTCTTCCTCCTGTCCCATCATGTCATTAACGGATTAACTACTGTAGATAGGAACTAAATACTGTAGGCAAGGAACAGAAAATGTGCATATTTTGAGTTGTTAAGCTTTGCCTGGTGTTGAATACCATTCACAGAGATCTAGAGATGCAGATTTAATATACTGGAGCTCTGCAAAGTCTCCATATATATCTGTGAGGTGACTCTTGCCTTGTCTCTTTCTGCTTTCCACAAGTGCTCTCTGTTTATGAGAGAAAAGATCATTTCCTTTAGCTGCCAAGTCCTGAAAAGACAGTCTGAGATCAAGCCAGCTTTTCCCAGTCTTCTGGCTTGTCAGCCCTTGGAGAGTTTCTGCAAAGCCTTTGTTACACTAGTGCAAGCCTTTTGTTTTCATACGATGCCCTCGCTGGTAACTGTGCAGCTCCCCAGCCTTCCCTGCCAAGAGATTGCCAGCAGACTGTAAATGGGACTTACTAAAAGGAATCTATTGATTCTGCACAGAGAAAAGCAGTTAGTGCAACTTTTTGAGCTGTGCTGGCTGCACTGTGTAAGAAACTCTGCATTGCTTGCACTGTAAAGTGAGTCTACAAAACTCACAAGATACATCTTTTAAAAGTAGGCTTTCACTTTCTTTTTTTTTTTTTTCTTCTCCCAAGGAGTTACTTTTCAGAGAAAAAACAAATTTTAGTTGCAAGAATAAAGAAAAAATGTGTTTCTGTGCGGTAGGTTCAGCTCCTTTGTCTGGAAACGAAACAAAACAAAACAAAACAGTTCTGATCTTCATTCACTAAGGCCAGATACAAGTGAATTGGAAACACAGGGTGAAAAAGGACTTTGATGTAGTTGTTAACAGTGAATGAAAATCTTCTCATCATTCATCTTCTCGGAGCTCCAAGTAGGTCATTGTTGTCTGTTGGCAGCACAGTGGCCAAGTCTGAAAGAGAAGGAAGAACCGCAAAGGAATGAGAAGCTGACCCAATTAAAGACAAGGAAGGCCAGGTTCACATCACATGAAAGCTGTAAATACTGGAATTTTCGCTCTCTGGCAGTAATTCTGTTTGTCTGCTCTAGCCTTAGCAGAATAGTAACTGTTCATTTTTAGCAGCCCTGTGGACGTGATTTACTTACATACTTCTGAGGGTCTGTTTATATTAGACCCTTAACAGTATTTTTTTTCTTTTTCTAGTCATGCTGATTTGGAATTAAATATAAAGAGAAGTGTTAAAATATGAAAAAAAAACTATTTTGAAACCACAACACACCATCACATAATACTAAGAACTTCAGACACAAAGCCAATAGTGGTACTAAAAGTGAAAAATAATGCAGTATCAAGATGAAAAGCCTTACAAACGCACACACATACACACTAACGTAGGAAATGCAGGAAGCAAGACTTGAAAATGTCCTAACCTCCCCCACAACATATGCACACACTGTGCCCTTGATGTGCTTTGCAGTAGGGCAGCAAAAAGGCACAGCTTTGTGTTCCAGAATTTCCCTTTCCAGCAGCCGGGTGAGTGAAAACCTGAACATTTGCGTCCTCCTGCTGAGGCTGGAACAGGGCACAGTTTCACCTTCCAAAGAACATGCCTCCATTTTCACATAATATTTTGCCAGTGAACTAGTCAGGAAGTGAAAGGTCCAAAACTTGAAAAGGATATTAGGCAAAAAAAAGGGTGTGCAAGTGTTCTCCAGCAGACCTGGTGTGCTAGAAACCCCTGCTTTCCAGCAGCTCGTCTCCGTTTATTGTCTGGGAAGCCCTTAGGCATGGGTGATGACTTTGTCAAATGCCACCATCTCCTTTTGGGAAGCCACTTTCTAGCCTCTTCAGACTATTTTGGGGAGTTTCTGAATTTTATGTTTTCAGCATCACACACATTTCACAGGTTTGTCTGTAGGATGAGATAGCAAACTCTGCTGCTTCCGAGAGCCTTCTGAGGGAAGGAGCAGGTGCCTTTTTTATGCTAGGGAGTTGAGTCCTCAGCATTAATCCTGAATGGAAGGCCTCTAAAGATGCAGAACTGATCCTGACAGGATCTGTCAATCTCTGCTGCACTTTGCCATACATCCAGGATATCTTAATTAATAGTGTGGAAGTTTAAATTGCTCACACTTAGAATCTTTCGTGCGGCTTTATTCCCTCATAAGCTTATTAATTTCCCTTATTAATTTCCTTCATCTTGTGGGGTAGGTAACATGCTGTTATTATCTTCCTTTTAATCCTTAAAAGCCTTTGTCTACTTGCTAGGCTGAGATTAAGTGTTGTATTAGAATCAGTCACTTTGATGTGCTATTATCTATAATGCATTTTTCTCAAAGTTTCTCCTTGCCTAATTCTCTCCCTGCTTGGTAAGTTTTACGTATTCCATTTTTATTTTTCTCTCATCCCTTTCTTTGTCTCTCTCTCCTCTTGCGCATTTTCCTTCCCAGTCTCCACCCTCTTGGCCTCTCCATCCCATTGCCCCATGGAGGGAACAACCATGCAAGAGACCTGAAAAGTTATGGCTTCAGTCCACGGTATTCCTTTATCGTCCATGTGTACTGCTGCTTTTCCTGGTGTCACTTGGTACAGAATGTTCTCAAAATCAAATGGGCCTTACAAGTTATTCCTCTGAAAATCTAATTCGCTTTTACTTTGCATCACATTCTCTCCTCACTACAATGCATCGGAAAGAGAGGAGGCAAATAATATTTTTCAGCAGCTGGTGTAGTTTTTGTTCCTCTCAGTAATGAGACTCAGATGACGTTGGAATCATTCCTTAGTGGAAAAGAAGAATGTCAAATATTTGGTGATTTTAGTTCATTTAGTGCCTCCACCTGATGCTCATGAAGGATATTGCTTTGTAGGAGAGTTTTATGCTATTGCCTTGTAGTTTTACAGAATCACAGAGTGGTTGAGGTTGGAAGGGTCCTCTAGAGCTCATCTAGTCCAACTCCCTGCTCCAGCAGGGACACCCAGAGCGCGGGGCACAGGGTGGCATCCAGGTGGGTTGGGAAGATCTCCAGAGAAGGAGACTCCACAGCCTCCCTGGGCAGCCTGTGCCAGGGCTCAGGCACCCTCACAGGAAAGAAGTTCTTCCTCACATGGAGATGGAACTGCCTGGGTTTCAACTTGTACCCATTGCCCCTTGTCCTGTCACTGGCCACCACTGAGAAGAGCTTGGCCCCTTTCTCCCTACATTCTCCCTTCATGAACTTAGACATGTTGATCAGATCCCCTCTCAACCTTCTTTTCTCCAGGCTAAACAGGCCCAACTCACTCAGTCTCTCCTCATATGAGGGATGCTCCAGTCCCTTCATCACCTTTCTCGCTCTCCGCTGGCCCCTCTCTAGAAGCTCCACGTCCCTCTTGTCCTGGGGAGCCCAGAGCTGCCCCCAGTGCTCCAGGTTTGGCCTCCCCAGAGCTGAGCAGAGGGGCAGGATCCCCTCCCTGCCCTGCTGACAACATCCTCCTCATGCAGCCAGGAGCCCATTGGCCTCCTTGGCCACGAGGGCCCTGCTGCCTCATGGGCAACTTGGTGTCCACCAGGACTCCCAGGTCCCTCTCCGTGGAGCTGCTCTCCAGCAGGTCGACCCCTAATCTGTGCTGGTGCCTGGGGTTGTTCCTGCCCAGGGGCAGGACCCTGCACTTGTCCTTGTTGAACCTCATGAGGTTCCTCTCTGCCCAACTCTCCAGCCTGTCCAGGTCCCTCTGGATGGCAGCAGAGTCCTCCGGAGTGTCGGCCACTCCACCCGGCTTGGGATCATCTGCAGACTTGCTCAGGGTGCCCTCTGTGCCCTCGTCCAAGTCCTGATGAACAATTGCCCTTGGAGACAACCTGGAGCCACAGAGATCATTTGGCATGTTTTTCCTTCTTTATATTTTTTTTTTGTGATAAAAATTCTGAAAGATAATTTGTCAGCTATTTGTCAGCATGGGGTTTTATTTTATTTTATTTTATTTTATTTTATTTTATTTTATTTTATTTTATTTTATTTTATTTTATTTTATTTTATTTTAATCTGTACATTGGGATTAAGGGTAGAAAAGGGCACCAAAAACTATACAAGTGTGGCTGAGATGATAGTATATTTTGTCCCAAAAGAATGGTTTTGTGATCTTTCCTAAAGATGGTCAAACCAGCTCTTCAGTGCCTATTATGTTTATGAACCTGCCTTGCTTGACAGTACTGACTACAAGTTTTGTACATTCAGTTGCTGACGCTTTAGTCAAAGCCACTTATTACTGTGGTCCTAAGACACTGAGGAATTGTATGAGAGAGATTGGTTAGCTTTACATTTACTCTGCAGTCAGGCCAGTCAGATGGCCAGCTGTACTGAAGAGAAAAGATCATATTTGTAAGTCAGTACTTAGAGTTACAGACAGTCCACCTTTTCAGAAAAGTCTTCTAGGTTTGACCTAAAGACTTCACCAAAGTCTTTCTTCCTGTATCCTCCCACAGTGTTCCGTTTTTTAGAGTTCAGTCATGGTTTTTCTACTTTTGGCTTTGAGGAGCCATCTTCTGCCAGAGATATTTCCTGCACATTCTGTATGGACAGCTGTGATACATCATCTCTTAATTTCCCCTTTAATGAACTACATATATTGGCTTCCAAAGTCTCCACAGTACGATGTCTTTTCAAACTTCAAGTCATTCTTGTTTTTTTTTTTTTTTTCCTCACCTTAGTGCTGGTCAACATTTTGGCATCTTTTGGGTTGCTTTGCTACCAGAAGCAAATTCAGCCCTGTACTAACGATTCTGCATTCATGGACAGAGGCAATAGCATCTGCTGTCTTATTTACATAACCAGATTGCTGAGTATCTTATTAGTCTCATTTTCAGTGTATTAAAATATTAAATTGGTGGTGAACTTTTGACATATGAGGCCTTAAAAGTTATATGACCTGAAAGTAAACCATTTCTAGTGTTAAATGCTGATCCCTCTTCCCCAAATCTTTCTGCTGTCCATTATAAACATCCTCTGTCTGCACATGAATTACTCTCTTTGTCTTATGTGTTTATAATGTCATAAATGCAATGATTATGGGGCTGATATTAAATCAAAGCTGTCTTTTTGATAGATAGGGTTGACCAGCTAAGTGCTATTTTAAATGATCTACAACAGTTCACGATAACACCACGTTCAGTAAAATGCAAAATGGGTGCCTCTTGTTTTGGGTGATGCAAAGTCTAAAACACTATTATCCCACTACTGCTTTCAGTGAAAATATTAAGAAACACTAAGGATACTTTTTTTCTAGAGTGTGTGTAACCATATTACATAAGCTTTTTATGTAAAGACAATGGGATAAGAGGCAAAAACTGCTTAATTATGAGTTAAGGACTGTATTTTGATGCGGAGTGTTTTGCAGGGATCTTCAAAGGACTTTTGTATCAATGGACTTCAGCTTGACATCTTATTTAAGGGCAGACTAAACACTGTTTGCTTTTGTTAGGTACTGACTTCAGTGTAGACAGCCTGCCTCTCCCTCGTAAAAACCATCACGATTGGGCCCTTTTCCATGAAGAGTCACCGAAAAACAACTACAAGCTCTTTCATGAACCAACCATCACCTTATTCAACCACACTGCAACGTTCAGCCGTCATTCGCACCTACCACTGACCACTCAGTACCTTGAGGGTGTCGAGGTCCTGAAGTCCTTGAGGTACATGATCCCTCTGCAGAAGAAGAACAGCTTGAGGAAGAGGCTTGCACCACTTGTGTACGTGCAGTCTGACTGCAACCCTCCTTCTGACCGGGACAGCTATGTGCGTGAGCTGATGTGCCACATCCAAGTAGACTCGTATGGGGAATGCCTGCATAACAGGGACCTTCCTCAGCATCTCAGAAATCCATCTGCCATGGACGATGGGAACTTCTATAAAATAATAGCACAGTATAAGTTCATTCTTGCCTTTGAAAATGCCGTTTGTGATGATTACATCACTGAAAAGCTTTGGCGGCCACTGAAACTAGGGGTAGTACCAGTGTACTATGGCTCTCCCAGCGTTGTGGACTGGCTTCCTAGTAACAAGAGTGCAATCCTGGTATCTAGATTTTCACATCCTCGCGAGCTGGCCCACTACATCAAGACTCTGGATACAAATGACCGAGAGTACGAGGCATACCTTGAATGGAAATTGAAAGGGAACATTTCCAACCCCAGGCTGCTTACAGCACTGAGGGAACGCAAGTGGGGAGTGCAGGATATCACCCAGGACAATTACATTGACACCTTTGAGTGCATGGTGTGTAACAGAGTGTGGGAAAACATCAGGAGGGAAGAAAAGGTACTTGTAACTTTGTCCTTTTGTGTTAGGGAGGTTTTGAAAGGATACCAGGTTCAGATTTACCCTGGGAAATTTGATGACCAGAGTTCGGGCAGCCTGCAAAAACTGGTATTGCAGTGTTTTTGAGTTGTGCATCCTCATGCCAAAACATCTTGGCAGAAGACTGTGCTTGGCCAGGACATGTGTTCCTGATATGGCCATGCTACTGAAGCTCTTCCATGCAGACAGTTGAGCTGGTGACCACCACAGCAGAATGATTGGACTATTCAGGGGGGAGGGATAAGCCACTGACTTTGTGGCTAACTTCAGATGACCAACCTTAAAGGTGATCAAACACTGAAATAGGTTGCCTAGAGGTGTTGTGGGATCTCCATCCTTGGAGATATTCAAAAGGATATGATCCTGTGTGACCAGCTCTGACTAGACATGTTTGGAGCAGGTATTGGACCAGATGATTTATGGGAGTCCATCTTAATCTAAATACTCCTTGACTCTCTATTTCTATGTGTGCGTGGGTGCATGCAAGCCTGGAGCAACAAAATGCCATTACCTGTGGCTGTGTTTGTTGCCTAAACATTGATGTCTAAGCTGAAAATGAGCAATCGTGAGAGGAGCTGGACCTATTTCTCTAGGTCTAAATCTTCTGGATGTTATCCTGGTAGAGACCACCTGAGACCAGCTCTCTTACAAGCATGCTCAGCACCCCGCAGTCTTGCAAGGATCTCAGCAATGACCCTGGAAAGCCATTTTGAAGGCTCTGAAATTGGCTGTTCTTTCCCAGAGGCTGTTACCTGCCTGAATAGATTTTACTGGTATACGCTTTGGAATCAGACTGAAGCAGCACACTCTACATACACCTCTGATCTTATACCCACTCATTTTAATTACCGTATTCCTTAAAATTTTCCAGGTTTAGCTGCTATCTGGAGTTATTTTTTAACGCTCTACATCGGATCGGTTATCAATGTAGATCAAAATAATGGTTGTAGTCACCATTGGTTGTAGTATCCTACTGGTGTCTTACACCATTAGGCCAAATTTTTGCAGGAGGCAATTTGAGCAGTATGTTAAATGGTTGTCTGGTAGAAGAGAGGCTGAGAAAGCCTTTGAAGTTATTAAGATGAGTTGGAAGGGATGGGCAGTCCACAGGGACATGGCAGGAACCTGTGATGGGAAGATAAAAGTCCATGAGGTTGCTCAATGGCTTGTTAAGATAACCCCTCTTTGGGCATTCCCAATAACTTCTTTCCTACCTTTTTTTTCCTTTTATTTTTCTTGTTTTTTTTTTTTGTTTTCTCACCACTGCAGGGATGGCTTCCACAGACCTGGAATGCTCAGGTTAATCACCTCAGCTGCCCCAAACCTGAAACTTTCTGGTTCTCATCTTCAAACACAGGCTGGCCTTCCCCTCGAGAGATGTGGATACCCAGCTTTGAGCAATCCAAGAAGGAAGCCCGGGCACTGAGGCTGCTGGTGGAAAGGAACACAAATTTTACAGCTCAGGAATTTTGGATGCTTGTATTCAGAGAATAAATATGACCACCAGTAAAACTGAGTGAAATCCTCAGGAGCATCTATGTGATTTTCTTTTGCAGGTGGCCTTATTGTAAGTAGGACTTGCAACCATAGGAAGTAGACCGTTTGTCCTGTAAGACTGAATTTAGTAGGCATAGTATTCAGAGTATTACTAAGCCAAAAAACTGCCCCACTGTGTTATATTTTTACATAAATAGTTATATTAATTGCCATAGTTCTGACGTTTGAGCATTAAGGCACCAGTCACTGAGTTCTCAAGGCCAGTTTTAAGCACACACCTAGTCCCGCCTAAACCAAAGGTACCTCCTTCCATCTTTAGATACGTACCTATGCTTCCAATCAAAGTTCCTTCATTCCTGAACTGATATCCACTCTCTGGAGTGGGGCTGACACAGTTGCACCGGCACAACTTCTGTGCTGCTTTAGAGAGGGAATATTGGAACAGTGTCCCTGACTAGCTGTTTGTTATCAATTTCTCCAGCATCAGCAGATTTAGCAGGGACTTGGCGGGCTGTGCATCCTGACACAGAGTGCCAATGTGAAAAGCATTAGTGCCTGGCGCAAAGAAGCACCATCTGTTAGTGTCCAGGGACAGACTGATTGAAAACGTGCTGGCTAAGATTTACCCACTGTCTTCTGCTAAAAATAAGGACAGTACATGAATATGTCTCCTCTCCAGAAATAGGCCTGGCTTCAATCTGACTTATCTTCTGGCCTCTCTGGTGAAGAACTAGCGTTTGTGTCTCATAAAAATGTGGCGTTATGTGCTTGAATGAGCAGGGATAAAACTATGGGCCTGTTGCTACTGAAGAACTTTCACAAAACAGAAGGAAAGACAGTTAAATAGCCTACACAGACACCCCCAGTTTTACATTATCTGACAAAAAAAAACCCTTGATGGGCTTGGATACCACTTGCCAAAATCTTGCCACATCTTTGCTATTTAGACTGCAGGAGTTTTCTCCAGAGCTCTTCCAACCTCAGTCCATGGAGGAGTCCATGCCTGTGCATTGCCTGCATGGAGGGTTTCAGAGGTGGGAAGAGTCAGTCATACGATGAGACTGGTGGGTGAAACCAGTTCTTGGCACCTCTGGAAAGGCAGCTTTCCACCTAACTGGTGACTTCCTAATCTCTCGTATCAGGCCATTTTAATGTGGCTGTCAAACACTCATCTATTTTATGAACAGGGGAAGGGCATCAATAGTGTTTAACCAGGAAATTCAGCAAATATGCTTATGTTGCACTGCAAATAGCTGGTGAATTTTTGGCTTCTTTTAAATCCAGCCAGAGAAAGAGCAGCTTTATCATCATAAGCCATATAGCGTTGGCCTTCGTATGAGCACATAGGCAGCTTCAAGCAGACAGAATATGGAAATCGTTGACTTTTTAGCGTTTTCATGGGTTTTGCCAGTATGACATGCACTATTCCTCAGTTAATTCTTCAATAAACTCTTTCACCTATTAGTCAAAAATGCGAATGATAACTAAACTCTACAAATGGAGAAGTGCTTTGGGAAGGTGGCATTAACAACAGACTTAGAAGCGTTTATAAAGCAAGAGCTAGAATTAGACGTAATTAGACCTAAACCTTGCAGCATGCTCGTAGAGCACTCCTGTATCTCAAACCGTTGCAGTGAATTTCCATTTTTTCTCCCAGAAAAATGGAACCTTGTCAGAAAGAACATCCCAGAACAGAACATCTATAGGAAGTTTCCTCTTTCCACTTTCTTTTCCTTCCTTCCTTCCTTCCTTCCTTCCTTCCTTCCTTCCTTCCTTCCTTCCTTCCTTCCTTCCTTCCTTCCTTCCTTCCTTCCTTCCTTCCTTC